ACAGCTTCAGGCATTCTTTTTCTACCTCCCTAGCACTGGGATTACAAGTGTGCACCACCTTGGGGATTGAACTCAGGACCTTATGTGCAAAAGGAAAGCACTTTACCATCTGAGCTATCTCCCCAGCCTGTTCATTTGAGTTTAAAATAAACCTCTTCTGTAGTTGGTTGGCTTTACAATTGCAGATCCTACAGATAACAGAAGAATGCTTGCTTCCTGATTTTTTTTTTCTTAGACACACATCTATGAAAACACTTGGCTTGCGGTTTAGGCATAGTGATAAGTTCATATCAACAACTCATAACTAGATAGGGATCACAAGAATACACTGTAAGAGAAGTTATTTTAAACTTATAAGTTGTTTCCTTCTGGAATTTTTGCACTTGATTCTTTTGAACAGAGGGTAACATAACTGAAGCCAAGGAAGGTGTATGTCATGGAGAATAAGTTGGACTTTGTGGATCTCTTCCTGTCACCAACCTTGACACCCAAGGATTACATGGTCCTCTTATAGCCCATATGATACTGAGTCATACTGAGTTGGTGTAAGAGGCTTAGCATGGTCCACCATATTACCAGGGGAGCCGCTGGGCTCCTCTCCTCAATCTTTAGTCCTGAACCGCCAACGCATACTTGATATTCTTCCCCATCAGTGTTGCTTTTAGCATTCATCCAGAGTCAGCTTCTCTGGTTGCCTCTAATCACTCTGATTTTTCCACTTAGTTTCTATTTTATGCCACAGGAATCTGATTACATTGTAAAGTTCCTGCCTCTTTCTTGGGGGCTGGACAGAGTGTGAGTTATAGCCTTTCAGAGTACCCTGTCTGAAGAGATCCATATGACTCTGGGACACAACGTTATCTATCCAACAAATAGAAATCAGCTGACATGCTTCTGAAAACAGATGCCCCCTCCTTTATATACTGGGGACAGTCTGATGGCACAGAATGACAGTGTTAAGGATCCTGGGGCACAGACTCAATCCGAAACTCAACTTCCTCCCTCTCTCCCTCTCTCCCTTCCTCCCTTTCTTTCCTTTGTCTTTCCTCCCTCTCCTCCCTTATTTTCTTTCTCTCTTCTTTCTCCATCCCTTTTTCCTCTCTCCCTTCCTCCCTCCTCCCTCATCTCTCTTTCTTTAATTCTGTCCCATGGGTGGAACCTAGAGTCTTGAGCATGCTAAACTGATACTCAACCATTGAACTGTATATCCAGCTCTTGATTTTTAAGACATTACTATGTATTCCACACTGGTCTCAAACTGTTGGCTCTCTCCTGATTCAATCTCCAGAATGTTGGGACTACAGGTGTGTACCACCACACCCAGCAGCTTAACTACTTCTTAATAAGGACCTCCCTGAGTCACAGTTTCCTTGTGCACTAAGGCCAACTGTCTGCTCCAAGAAACTTTTTTACAAGAAATTTTTTATGACACGATAGCCATTTCACTTGTGTGATCTGATTTCCAGACACTCACTTCCCTACTCCAGAACTAAAGTGTCTACAACTCTGTGTATCTATTATGAATATGTTCTGCTCTCTAACACCATAAAGAGAATTTACAAAAGGTGGGGGATTTTGTGTTTTTGTTTTATCAGCATCAATGCACAAATTGCTTTAAAGGACAGTACAGGGTCATTGTACCGGGCTTGGTCACTGACTGACACCACTCTTTGGCACCTGACATGTGGACAGAGTAGCATGGCTTTGGACTTGGCTGTTCAGCTTCTTCTCCCACCTCTGCCTTCACAGTGTGGCCTGGGAAACATGCCAAACATTCTAAGCCTCAAACAGTGTTAATGCACTCTTAACCAAGACCAAATAACAAACGACTCAGAGCCCCAAACACAGTGCTAGTATGGGGCAAGCCCTCAGGAAACATAAGCTCCTCTGAACTACCACAGCATCCATCCACTCTTCATCAGAATTCATTTGTTCATTCATTCACTCATTCAGCAACTCTAGCAAGAGACCCTATGACTAGAGACCAAAATGGAAGTTGAATAAATGAATGGCATTTGGTATGATAGGATGTCAGATGGGGAGTTGAATGACTTCTTGAGTTTTGGATGAATAGATGAAGTAGGTCTGGGGTGAGTGGGTTGGTGGAGTAGGTAGAAGGGTAAATGGAGTGTGTGTGTGTGTGAGTGTGTGTGAGTGTGTGTGTGTGTGTTTTGAGAGAGAGACAGAGAAAGAGAGTGTATGTGTTGTACATATGAAATGGGTAGATAGATAGATGAAGAGTTACATGGATGAGTGGATAGGTAGATGAATGAAATGGGAAGATGGATGGGTGGATGGATGGATGGATGGATGGATGGATGGATGGATGGATGGATGGAATCAATAGGTTTTGGATAAATGTTATATATGAAGCTTTATTGGTCATCTAGAGTCATTTCCTCATCAAATACGGAAATTCTGTAATAATCCTTTTAAAATCCTCTTGACCCCTGCCTTCTTACATCCAATAACTTAAAAAAGTATTTCATTAACAAGCACCATTGTCAACTTTTCTTTCCAAGGTTTTAGTGTGATTGTGTAGTCTAAGTTAGTGGTTTAGGGCACGGTCTTAAGACCTGGGTTTGCAGCTCAGCTTAACTAATTAAAGCTGCATGACCTTGAACAAATCCCTTGGCCTCTCTAAGCCGTGTGTTTTCCTCTGAAGAATGGAGGTAATAGCAACCTTGCTGGGTTGTCAGGACGATTAATGAAATAATGAGATCAAGGCCAAACCAGTGCCCCAAACAGGTATTGCTATTGGACAGAGCTGGCATGTCCACTCTTGAAGCTTTTGTTTTTCACAGAGCACCTGCTGTGCATTGGATTTTACCTGAGCATTATGTATCTGATGGTAAATAAGAAGGATAAAGTCCTTCATCTCTTGGACCTTATGCTCTAGCAGAATGCTCAGATAATAAACAAGCAAACACATAAACAACTTCAGATGGTGTTAAATGATGTGCAGAAAATTGGAACAGGTAAAGTGAGAGATAGAGAGTGAAAATAATCTTTTATTGGACTTGGGCTGGTGACAAGAAGGGGTAGCCATTCTAAACTCCAGGGAGATGGTGTCCGGGAACCAGGAATCACTGTCAAAAAGCCCCAAGATAAAGGAGTTTATACAGGTAAAAAGCAAGAAATTGAGGGGTGAGCTGGTCACATGACTGCTCTGAGCAGAGGTCAGAGGAGGAGCTGTGTCAAGCCAAAAGCCCAACCCTGTAGTTTAGACATTACTCCTGTTGGTTTGCGGGTGAGGTTGTTTAGTTTGGTTTGATGGGTTTGTCATTCATAAAAATAGATGAATGATTTAAAGCATGAAAGTTTCACTATATAGCCTAAGCTAGCCTAGGGTTTGTGATCATCCTGCCTCAGTCAAATGCTGGGATTACAGGTATGTGTCACCATTCTGGGTTTGGACATCCTTCATACTAATCTTGTCCTCTGGAAAGAGCCTTCATCTGGCAGCCACTAAGCTTTCTGGTAGCCACCACACACTCCCACTCCTGAGCTGCTGACCGCCAGGCTGAGCAATCTGCATTCTCAGGAACCCCAGTTGACACTCCGGACTTCTGAAACCATAGCAGTGTTCTGAGACCCAAAATCCCAGACCCTGCCAAGAATAAAGTTAAACTACAAGAGATTAGATCAGTCTGGGAAATCCAGACAGCACTGAATCAGTGCAACTTGTAACACACTAAAACCGGGAGGGTGTTACTCACTGGCCTTGGCCCTGGAGACGGGAATTTTTCTAAGACTGATTTTGGGATAAAAGGTGTCTGGAACCATTTATCCGGGTGGATTGGGTATAGGATCTGGCTCTCCAAAGGTAACAAATGATCGTCTATGATAGTGGCAGATCTCCAACCTGGATGGTCCCAGAGCTCACTGGGTCATTAGGACTTAGATAGCTGTAGCCTCTCAGAAGAGCTTCCCTCTGTGTTGGTTTTCTTCTGGAAACTTCTCTCTTACCATCTTCCAATTCGATGTGCAGCAAGAACTTCTTTATCTGTTAGCTCCAACAAGACTAAGGTATTGTCTCCTTGGCAAACAGCTTCTTTGGCAAACCATGCAAACCAAATAGTGTTGCACCGAGGGAAGGCTAAGTTCTGGCCAGCCAGTCCTGAACTACAGGTCACCTCTAGATTGATAATCAAGACAATGCTTCCCACATCTGTAGACTGAGCATGGACAAGAGAAGGAGCCACAGAAAGTGTAAGATGAAGGGCTGAGGAAATAGCTCAGTTGGTAAGGTGCTTACAGTACAAACATAGAGACCCAAGGGCAGATCCTCAGCACCTATGTAACAAAGATAGTTCTGCAGTCCTCATGCCAAGGAAGCAGAGACAAGAGGATCAATATTGCTGTGATGAACCATCATGACCAAAGCAACTTGTGGGGAGTACGGTTTATCTGGCTTACACGTCCATATCACTATTCATCACTGAAGAAAGTTAGGACAGGAACTCGAAGAGGTCAAGAACCTGGAGTCAGGTGCTTATGAAGGAGTGCTGCTTACTGGCTTGCTCCTCATGGCTTCCCATCCTTCTTTCGTATAGAACCCCAAGACTACCAGCCCAGGAATGGCACCACCCATAATGGGTTGGACCTTTCCACATCAATCACTAATTAAGAAAAAGCTCTACAGGCTTGTCTATAGCCTGATCTTCTGAAGCATTTTCTTACCTGAGGTTCCCTCTTCTCAGATGACATTAGCTTATGTCAAGTTGGCATAAAACTAGCCAGCACATAGTCAAATGTGTATATTAGCCTTTTCAAACTCCTGTGGTATAGAGAGAACTGCCATAAGCACCACAGAGTCTTCTACAACCTTGTATATGGGCAACATAAGGGTCTAGGACTTCTTGATTCAGCACACTCAAGCTCTAGGATTCTATAGGATGCTATGTTCCTGTCCCAGGGGAAGGGTAGGAGACAGTTCCTACTTTCTAGAGTGCAGGCCATCCTCAAGTTCATCTCTATGGTCTTCTGGTTTTCCCTAGGCAAAGCCAACAAGAATGTCCAGTGGGATGAGGATGCTGTGGAATACATGCCCGCCAACCCAGTAAGAATCGCCTTTGTCTTGGTGGTCCATGGCCGTGCCTCTCGACAACTACAGCGCATGTTTAAAGCCATCTACCACAAAGACCATTTCTACTATATCCACGTGGATAAGGTAAAGAGCCACTATTCATATCTCTGTGCTGGGCTTCCTCTGCAGTGTGTCTATCCATCTCTGATCCTTCCTTCCACCTCGCAAGTCCAGGCTGAAGTCTAGAAATAGAACAACAGCATGTGATTCCTAAGTTTGTGTGTGTGTGTGTGTGTGTGTGTGTGTGTGTGTGTGTATGTATACATGTGTGTTAGTTTCAGAATGTTTAGTTGTGGTGCTCAGCTTTTCCTTTAGAAAAGCTTGGTTGTTTTTTTTTTGTCTTTTTAATCTTCCTCGACACATGATAATTACAAGTATTTATTGATTAAAATTTGATATGTTGCTCTATGTATGCAGGGTGAGCCAGTCAGTTCAGAAAATTAGCATATCCATAACCTTAAATTCTTTTCATTTCTTTGTACTCAGATCATTCCAGATCCTCCCATGCGCTTTTTTCACCATGTTCTACATTACTGGTAGTGTTTGTCTTCCTCCTACATAACATAACACACACACACACACACACACACACACACACACAGAATTTCTTCTTAAAACCTAACTGTGCTTTTTTTTTTACCTCTTCCTCTCCCTGTCTAGTGCCCACTTCCCACCCTCACAGATCTGTGAAGCTAGCTATCCTAAGAGTGAACTCACTTTTCTAGAGAAGTCCAGGTAGTTGAAATATCCTTTTAGACCATAAGCTAATCAGTTTTCCCTTGCCTGTCTGCAGCCACACACAACTGTCAATCAATGGGCGTATTCCAATAAACCTTATTGCCAAAACTCATACTTGGCTTGCTGACTCAGGAGCCATCTTTTCCTAGAAGAACCTGTTAATCTGTTGATGTCACAAGATATGTGCATGTCTAGAACCCTAGAGTGCCTAAGGTGGAGGCAGGAAGGTTTCTCTGAGGTCAGGTTCATCCCCTTTCTTCTCAGAAAAGCACACAGGTTGAGGCTCTAAGACAGTGGTAGAATGCTCACCTAGCAAGTACAAGGTCCAGTTAAAGCTTTAACACTAAATAAATCCCAAGAAGGCAAAAGGGCTACTTTCATCCCCAAGATGTGTTTCTAGTCACCTTGTGAAACAGTAAGGGAAGAGAAGTGGTCCCAAAGGACAGAACATAGAAACCCCACCTCCTACTCACAAAGACTCATCAAATTTAGATAGACCCATGTTCTTGAGCTGGGCACCTTGAAATAACATGCAGCAGTCATCTGTGTTGCCATGTAGTGTTCTAGGTCCGTCACCTCAAGCCCACTGGTGACTAACTCTGCGGTGGGCTTAGGGAATATGAACGTCAGTACTCAGTGGTTGAATATTGGTGTAGAAAGACACTGCAGGCCAGCATCAGCAACAGCCAGTTCCACTATGATCAGACACACCAACCACAAGGGAGAGAGGTGGTTGGGATGTCTAGGGGCTGATGTCCTCTGAGCTGTCTACTGACCCCTTTTCTCCTTTTCTTTCCTGGGCAAAGCGTTCCAATTACTTGCATCGGCAAGTGCTTCAGTTCTCCAGCCAGTACGACAATGTCCGAGTCACTTCCTGGAGGATGGCCACCATTTGGGGCGGAGCCAGCCTCCTGTCCACCTACCTGCAGAGCATGCGGGATCTACTGGAGATGACTGACTGGCCCTGGGACTTCTTCATCAACCTCAGTGCTGCTGACTACCCCATCAGGTGAGGCAGTCACCAGCTCCAAGGCAGTCAGTTCCAGGGTCCTGCTTCCCTCACCTCTTCCTGTAACAACAGTGAGGAAACAGGAAAGCTCAGGCTGTCAGCTTCCTGTCCAGTGAAGCATCCTGCTTCACAAGATGCCCTGTGTTTTCTCTATGAGATTAGCCAGCATTACATTCAGAAAGCAGAGGGAAGAAGTGAGAGCGCATTGTATTCCTAATGAAAAAGGCCAGGAGAAGCCTTATGAATAACAATAGAAGAAGATGAACTAGAGGATGCTGCCTTGGAAAGTGTTCCTAGGCGGAGAAGAGCTGGGCCAGCCCTGAAGTGGGAACGTACCTGGTGTGGGCAAGAGGTAGTTGGGCTTGGAAGTGATGTAACAGATAGTGAGGGATAGAGTAACCAGACACAAGGTCAGAGGGTCACGGAACTGTTACTCCAAGCCAGATAGATGTAAGTATATTTTGAGCAGAGGAAGGACAGATCTGACCTTGATGTTAAACTCAAAGTAGCCTACTAGAATGGCAGTTGCTTATAACAGCCTAGGCAAGGTCACATATAGGAAGTGAGGAAGACCCTAGAATATATTCTAGAGCAAGATGAGTTGGCAATCAAGGATGGAGCACAGAAGAGCGGGAAGAACATTCTAGACCAGGCATTATAAGCTGTGCACTATTAACATTTGAGCTGACAAATTCTTTACTATGGGGCTTCCCCTTACCCTGTCAGATGTGTATCTGTGTCTTTGGTCTTTACCTAAAAGCTGCTAATAACATGTTCTGCTCACTTATATCCTTCTCACACAATGTCTGAAGATATTTTCAAATGTCCCGTGAGTGCCTAGATCACCTGCTGCTGAGAGCTACCACGTTTTTATATGAGAAAATATAATGGGTAAAATTATTAATAAAGATGAACGTTTTCATCTGAGAAATCTAAAACTGGATGGAGTTTAATGAGCAACAGCCTAAGGAAAGGTGACTCTAGCTAGACAAGAACAGGACAAGGGGCTGTCTTCCAATAAAAAAAAACTGAATTTAGAGATTTCTCCAACATGCAGTATATAGCAACTGTTACAGGAGGAAATTCCTTGAGCCTTTGTAGGGAACCCAGTGGTTATGTGGTCAAATTCAGGTCCACACTCATACAATGAAGACATGACAGCAAGGATTAGAACCAGTTCTGTCCATTTCCAAAGTAGATGTTCTTTCTGCTTAAAACTTACCTCCTGGGAAAACCAGGAAGCTGGGCTGTCTGTAGAGTTGCAAGCTGCCTAGAAAATGCGGGAGGAAGCAGGCCAGGTAGGCATCCGCACAGCTGCCACCTCCTAGTTATGCTGCTTTGCACGGATTGCTATCCCAGTTGTAACTATGGCCACTTACCCAGAAAAGTCAGGCTCCTAGAGGATGCAGGCTCAGATTCTCACCAGACTGCTCAGCATGGAAATCCAAGATCAGTTATCAAAGAAGCAGCAGAATTACAGGGACATGAATCCATTCATGTGACACCAAGAGGCAATAACAGACTGTAGCAGAGCATCAGGCATTTGCAAGGTACTCGGTGCATATCAACTGTTGCCATCTAAGTTGCAGCCGAGTTTGCGTTTTTTTATCTTTGCAAGGGCCCCAGCTGTCTTTCTCAGACCATGTGCTGAAGGTGTGTGCTTCATGGCTCCTTTAGCTTTACAACTCAGTGTTTGTGTCTGTGCCTGGCTTGCTCTTCCTCTGTCTCCCAGGTAATTGCCAGAGTGTCCACCCACCCCCTCAGCTCTTCTGTGCACTCTGTCCTGTCAGCCTTATGGCTAGCTGCAGCTCATACTCCGGGCTCTGCTGTTTCCTCTTGCTGTTGTTTCTATGAAGTCGCCCCACACAAAAACATATGGATTTTTCAGATGAATGGTTTCATCCTGGGTAACTCTGATAGGTTTCACATTCCATCTGCTGTCCCATCTGTAGCTTCTAAAATGACTCCTTCCATCCCAGGAAGAATAAGAAAGTTAAGAGCTTTCCCAAAGTGAGATGGAAGTGCTCGCTTTAGACATTTCCAAGGGGCTTTGAGGACTTAGGGAGTGTTCATGGACAGAAGCAGCCTGAGGTATCCAGTCTGAGCCCCTCTTCCCCTGCCCACCATTACTGGGCATACAGACTCTCTTCCTAAGTAATTAAGACTCACTGACTTATAGAGTCATAGACATGTTAACTCCTGGACACAGGTAGCCATGTGAGTTGGTGCAAACTACTTCAATTGTGTACACCTCAATTTTTTTTTTTACCTTAAAATTGAGCACCATAGACTGCAGTGCTTCTTCCAAGAGGCTGTTGGAGGAGAAAAATGAAAAACGGTCCCACAGAGGCATCACACAGAGCCTGATGCATACCAAGTGCTAGGTAAACACAGGTTGGTCACAGCAGTGGGATGATGTGTGCATCACAGGCAGGACTTCACACTCCCCCTCCCTTCAAAATATTTCCCCTTTCCCTCTGATGGAGTGAAAAGCCAAGTGATTATTTCTTGAATCTCATCCCTTCCCAAGGTGTGAAAAGGATTGTGTGTCTGTGAACAGTGTTTCAAGAGAAAACAAGACATAATTTGTGGGTAAAGGAGATTCGTGTGTGGGCTAAGTGTGCTCAGACTCCATGCTTTACCGCCCTGCTGTTGATGTGGTACTGCCCTGTGCAGGCTCTGGTTGAAACTAGTAAATGCCCAATACATGGTTAGACATAATGTTCCCAAGTTCTAGATCTCATCAAAAGATATGCTAACTGTGTTTCTCATGTCTTACCTACCAAGAAAGTAACTATACCTAGCATCCTTTTGACTAGCCACATGTAGGGATGAGGCCATGAACATTTCTCCCTGTTGTTTGGTTTGGACCTGCACAGAGACATCCATCATTAGGACTCTTACCTTAGCAAAAAAATAGAAGGTTGAATATGTCCACAGCCCCTCTCAGGGTTCATATTATGTCTGTGGTGTGTGTGCATGCGTGTGTCTGCGCTTGTGTGTGTGTGTGTGTGTGTGTGTGTGTAACAAGCTGTTGCCTAAGGGAAACAGTGTTAGCATATTTCAAACTAAACCCAGGATTTGCCTTTTCTGCCTCTTGGGGACACAAAACCATAACATGTTACACTTGGGACCCACTATATAGACATATAAGTTATGCTAACCACAGACTCAAACCTGTGTCTTGAGAGAGTACCAGTGTTGGGAACCACACATTTGAATAAGTAGACAAGACAAGAAGCAGGTAGTTGGGCCTCTCTATGATCTCCCCAAACCAAGTTTGTATGAGACCTAACATGGAAGCACTCCCTGCATAACTATTATGTTCCAGAACCTCTGTTGGGGACTCTAACACATAGTTTGATTCTCATCCTATAAAAGAAAGATGTATAAGAAGCCAGTAGCGTCATAGGCTTACTGTGAGTCAAAGCCTTGTCAAGATCAGTGGTTTAACAGGCCTACTATGAGTCAAAGATTTGACAAGACCTGGAGCAGAGCTGAGTTGCCCGAGGGCTAGATATCAATGTGGGCACCCAGATTCTGTGCTCAGTCGCTTCTATATTGTCATCCTTCCATCCCTCATTGGCTCTTGAGGATGGAAGAATCCCTGTGACTGACACCAAGAGGTAGCCACAGACATGAGTGCATAGCCCATGGGTGCACAGCGTTTCGAAGGTGCCAGCCTTCCAATGATACTGTGGACAAGATGTATTTTCAGTGTAATTCTTGCTTACTCCTGATTCTCTGCTGAATAGGAGAGCTCTCTCCAGTAGTGCTGGCTGCCTGGGGCAGAATCAGAGTTACAGATAGAAATCAGAGACTCAGGTATGAAATCTAAGCTTCCTTTATCTTCTTCCTCATTGTCTTACTGCCCAACCTCTTGTATAGCAATTCAGGGGTGTCTTGGGGAAGGAAGAGTTCAAGCCAGCCTAGTGAGGCCAGTGGAGAGAACTCTTTATACTCATGGATGAATCCAGCACATGGGGCTCCTTCTAACAAACCCAGTGACTTCATAGGTCTACTGTCAGTCAAGTCTTGACAAGACCCAGTCAAGGTCTTGTGGTCTGCTTTGAGTGGATCTGTAGGTCAAATTGAGGAGCCACACTGGGAAGTTTTAGGGGAAGAGATCTTACATCCATCTTGAGATATAGTGTTGGTGGCTATGGGAGAAGAGATGGAAGGGCCCACATGGAGGTGGGAAGACTATGGAGAAGGCCAATGCTTCTGATGCTCCAGAGCCATGTAAACAAAACTGCTCTCAACCTCCAGGCAGAGGCAAGCATCCAGACGCCATATGAGCTTCCAGAATCTGTGGCCATTTAGCCTCACAGCTAATACAGCTAGGCAGCCACCTTCTGCTTAGGGAACTAGAGCCCTGAACCTGCACAGACAGCCTCCTCCAGAAGACTCACAGAGCATTTCAGTGGGAGATGGAACAAGGAACAGAACAGCCCAGTAGTCTGAGACAAGAATTTAGCAGAGCAGGTTCACAAGAGTTGCTTGTGAAATAGAGAAGTCACAGCCTATAGATTAGAGCAGAATGGAGCTTACCTTTGTTTCCTCGGCTGTTTTATAATTGTGACAAACCATGTATAACTTGAAACTTGTTATTGCTGTCATTTTAAAGGATGCAAATGAGTGGTATCGAGTGTGTTCATGTTGGGCAATCATCATAGCCATCATTCCCCCCAAGGACTGTTTTGACCTTGTAACCCTGTGCCCCCCCACCACCAGCAGCAGTAGCTCTAGTCCTTGGCAACCACAGCTGATCCATCTCTATGAGTTTGCTAACTCTGTGGACCCCCATGTGAGTAGAATCATGCAGCATTTGGTTTGTAACTGTCTTATTTCACTTAGCAGAATGTCCCCACGGTTCAGCCGTGTACCCTTGTGTCAGAACAGACATCCTTTTAAAAGCTGATGTTTCTGTATGATCACATGGAATGTTTCTAACTTTGGACTATTTGTAATGCCGCTATTATCAGTACTGATGTAGAGAT